GGATTTATAATAGGAAATAGAGAAATGGTAGAGAAGCTAAATAAATATTTTGTGTCTGTCTTTATAATGCAAGAGTCTCGTGAGAGTATAGAACTGAAAGAAATTAGTACTAGTAAAAAAAGTAGTACTAGAGAAAGTAATGGAACTGAAAGATGACAAATCCCCATGTCTCCATGACTTTCACCCCAGATTGTTTGAAGAGGTGGCTACGGAGATATTGAATGTATTTTAAATCATCTTTCAAAATTCCATTCATTCTGGCATGGTAGCTGAAGATTTGGAGGTTGCAAATCTGGGGTATCGCCAAGATCAATGCTTCAGCTCCAGCATTTCATGATCCATGTCAATATTTAGATGCAGGGACCAATTGCAACAATTCCAAGTTTGTAGATAATAAATAAAAAGCTTTTGGGAATGTGAGTTCAACTATAGAATCCCTACAGTGTGGAATGAGACCATTCAGCCCCTCAGTGTGCAAAGAAGATTTTCGAGGATGTTGCCAGGACTAATAGGCCTGAGTTATAGGGAGAGGTTGGCCAGGATAGGACTCTATTCCTTGGAAACTAGCAGAATGGGGGGGTGATCTTATTGAGGTGTATAAAATCATGAGGGGCATAGATAGGATGAATGCATATAGTATTTTTTCCAGGGATGGGGAATTGAAACTCGAGGGCATAGGTTTAAGGTGAGAGGGCAACGATTTAAGAAGGATCTGAGAGGCAACTTCTTCACGCAGAGAGTAGTGCGTATGTGGAATGGGGTGCCAGAGAAAGTGGTTGAGGCAGGTACTATAGCAACATTTAAAAAACATTTGGATAGGTACATGGATGAGGAGGGTTTAGAAGGATATGAACCAAATGTGGGCAATTGGAACTAGCTGAGTGGTCACCATGGTCAGCATGGACTAGTTTGGGCTGAAGGGCCTGTTTCCATGCTGTATTACTGTATAACATCCGCTCTGACCCTCCAAAGACCATCCCATCCAGCCCCAGACCCCACCCTATCCCCATAACTCTGCATTTCCCTTAGCTAATCCACCTAGCCTGCACATCCCAGGACATTACAGGGCAATTTAGCATGGTTAATCTACCTAACCTGCATATCTTTGGACTGCAGGAGGAAACCAGAGCAGCTGGTGGAAATGGGGAGAATGTGCAAATTCCACACAGTCACCCAAGCTGGATTTGAACCTGTGTGCTTGGCGCTGTGAGGCAGCAGATGCACAGAGGCTTCAAAAGGAGAGGTTGAGTGAGTGAGCAAGAGCATCATGGTTAGAATATACTGTGGATAAGTGTGAGGTTATCCAGTTTGGCGGGTGGAACAGAGTTACGGAGTATTTCTTATTTCTTCTTAGTGAGAAATTGGAAATTGTTGATTTCCAAAGGGACCTGGGTGTCCTTGTTCATAAATCACTGAAAGCTGGCATGTCTGTGCAGCATATAATTTGGAAGGCAAATAATATATTAAAGTTTATTGCAAGAGGATTTGAGTAGAGGAACAAAGAAGCCTTGCTGGTGAATCTGCATCTGGAGTATCGTGTGCAGGTTTGTTTCTTTTACCCAAGGAATGATTTTTTGCTATCAAGGGAATGTAGATAAGTTCATCACAGTGCTTCCTGGGATGAGATTTGTCCAATAAGGAGAGATTGAGCAGACTGGGACTGTTGTTTAAAAACTTCACAGAATCATTAAAGAGATAGACAGGGTAGATGCAGCAAGGATGTTTCCGCTGGCTGCAGGGTCTAAAACCAGGGACAGTGTGTCAGAATAAAAGGACCATTCAGAACTGAGAAGGGGAGGAATTTCTTCACTCAGAGGATAGTGATTTTTTTTTTGGAATCCCCTGCTTCTACTGAGGACTGTGGAATCTTATTCGGTAAATAAGTTCAAGACAGATTGATAGATTCTTTGAATAACAGAAACAGGCTTGAGGGACCAAATGGCCAAAATCCTCTCTCATGTTCCTAAGCTGAGTTCTGAGGAGTCTCAGATTTTGATCTTGTTTCTTTTGAATGACTTGTTCAACCTGGGTCTTCTTGGAAGAGGTTAAGCAGGGAAAGAGTGAAGATGAAAACTATTCGAAAACCTAAATCACATTTTTGTGAATGGTTGCATTTCTGGTTACCCTGTCTCACAGTTGGTTTTTATGTTGATGCAAATCCCAATCTGACCAGAGTTCCTATTTAAGAAGGGTGTCAATCTCTAGTACATCCACTGATTCTCAAAACTTTCCCCCCGTTTTGTTTCAAACAGACTTCAGGCTGGTACCAATACTCAGATACATCCTAATACTCAGACTGAGCTTTTTGTCTGGACAATACAAATAACATTGATCTCCATACCCAGCAGTCTAAAGTTGTGTGATTGCATTGCAGCCCTTAGGGGATATTTGAAATAGAGACACACCCACTTCAACGCGATGGTCAACAAAGCACAACAATGCCTCTACTTCCTTAGCAGGCTAAGGAAATTGAACCTATCCAGAAAGACTCTTACTGGTTTTTATAGATGCGCCATACAAATCATCATACCTGGATGCATCACAGCATGATCTGTTCTTCCCAAGACTGCAAGAAACTACAGAGGGTCATGAACACAGCCCAGTCTATCATGCGAATTAGCCTTCCATCCATTGATTCCACTGCCTTGGGAAAGCAACCAACCATAATCAAAGACCCCTCCCACCTCTGTTATACTCTCTTCCACTCTTTTCCATCATGCAGAAGATAAAGAAGTTTGAATGCACGTACGAACAGACTCAAGAACTATTTCTTCCCCGTTATCAGACTTTTGACCTCTCAAATGTTAATGTTGATCCCTCTCTGCTACTGTAACACTATATTCTGGACTCTATTCTGAACCCTGATACACTTTGTGTGGTACGATCTACCTGTATAGCATGCAAAACAATACTTTTCACTGTATCACGATATATGTGACAACAATGGATCAAACCAAACTCAAACATACTGGCATATATATATATGTATATATATTATATATATAGACACGTAGGGAGTCTTCTACTGTAACTATAGAAAAAGTTCCTGGAGATTAAAAACCAACATTGCACTTTGCAGAATTTGTTGAAATGATAGCAGTGGTATGATTGATGTACAATTAATGTGTGCACAAATTGCCCAACGGTTAGTGTGGTGGAATAGCTGCCCCATGAATTACAGATTGCTGTTCAATTTTCACTATTTCACTGTTAGCTTTTCAAAAATTACATCTCACCCCTCACCCAAACCTCCCTATGATTTTTATAATGTTGCTGCAATCCATTCAGCAAACCGTGGAAAGGTAATTCTCGTAATTAACAGTGCATGTGGCCTTTTAACCTCATGGTAACTATTGATGACTGCCAATCAACTTACCTTGCCAAAAAATGAACAATTAGATGTGTGGATTCTAATTCCTTCAAGAATTTGGAGATTTTAAATGTGTCACATTTTAAATTCGGAATTTTATTCTTACTTTACCTGCCTGGATCTTTTTCGCTTTCCATTAATCAAATCTTTCTCTCCCTCTCTTTATTTCTCCTTTCGCACCTGATTTGACTGTAATCCATCTTCCCTCCCAGTCTTTCCTCTGGTTATTTCTCAATCCTTAAATCTCAGTGGTTGTGGAGGTAGTCTGTATTGTCCCACTGCCATCCTTGCCATCCAGTTACCAGCTTACACTTCCAGCAGGCTAGACAGCAAAATTGTTTTCAGATGAAGATTGAAGTGAACATATCAAATGAAACACACCATAAGATGCCCACGCAGGCAGGATACGGCTATTGCAGTGAAATAATGCCTTCATGTGTGGGTTTTAATCATTTCAGTATGAACATGCAGAATGAAGTATATTGTGCAGGAATTATAGCAGCAATTTGTGCAGAAGATTTTGCCCCAAATTGCAATCCAATAAATGAGTTAATCTGATTTTTAACGAAGGAAGAATGCTGACCAAGCTGCTAAAAAATTCCTTTTTGTTCTTTGAAGTAGGGCTGCTGAATCTTTGACACTCGTGAAGAAGTGCCCAAGCTTTGGGTAAATTCAGAGCCAGTTTTCCAGCCGGCAGCTGTCTGCTGTGAGTGTGGGCTCAGTCAGCTGAACCCAGTATTTTATCCTGTGAAGTGAATAGATTGAGGTGAGGGAAAGTTGTATCCCTTACAGGGCCAATTGTTATTCATTGGCAGCATTCTCACTTCTGAGTTAAAATAATGTGTAACCAAGTCCCACTCTGGACCATTTGATACGTATTGTCGACCCGATACACCAGTGCAGTACTGAGGGAGATATGCACTGTTAGCGATGCTGTTGTTTGAAAAAGTCATTAAACCAAATTTCTCAGATGGCTCTCCCATGACTCTATTTCGAAGGAAGCCAAAGGAGTTCTCCTAGGTGTTTTGGCCAATCTTTATCCCTCAGTCGACATCCCAGAAATAGATTTTCTGGTCATTATCGCATTGCTGTTCGTTGGATTTTGCTGTTCCAAATTGCCTGCTGCACTTCCTACATTGCAACAGCAACTATAATTATTTACATTGGTTTGCTTTAGCATTTTGGAGCAGTGTGATGCTATGACAGGGATTGTGGAGGTTTCTCTGTTCTTTCTGCCACAATATTCTGAGGGTGGGACAGGAAACCCAAGAAATTTGGGACTAGAGATGCATGAAGTGCTAGTAGACCAGGAGATTAAAAGCACCAGGATAAATATTTATGCATCTCCAGAAGAAGTGAAGAGTTCAGAACCAACCGGAATCAAAAGGTCTTTAAAGGCAACCAATCCAAGTGCACATACAGAAAGAACAGTACATGATGACTGCAACAGAAGGCCAGGTTGTTTTAACTTTGTTCATCTTTTGTTGTTCTTTTGTTGTCTGCAATATTGAGATTTTGGTCTGACCAACACAGATGCCTTGTTATCGCATGGCCTTGCGGTTTCTGTGAAGACGGTGCGTATCAATAAAGTGTGAGGCAAACATGCATTTATTTCTTTTTCTTCTTTCAGGATCTGGGGATAACGAAAGTGGGCCACATGAAGCGAATTCTCCAGGGAATTAAGGACCTCAGCAAAAACACTTCCATGCCAGAAGTGTAGCTGTCCTGGTGCTATCTCAGAAAATAGTGGAACATTGTACAGACTTCTCCGGGGAGTCTGGTGACATTCTGCAGGTTTTCTGCTCAGTAGGATTTGTGACCTCGCTGCGTCACAGGGTGCAATGTTCAGGTGTTTGCTTCAGTTAATATATTCTTTTTCTAACCTTAAACTGTCTTGAGTTTCACTGAGGGTTTTGTGCCAACACATTGACCCTCAGCAGCCATTTTAGATTGTTGTAATGTGACAAGTCCTAATATGCATCAGTAAACATTGGTTTACATTGAACTGCGTAACCCTCCTGGAAACAAGGATGCTGCAAAATGGTAAATAGGTGCAAAATATTTCAGGACTTCCTTCTGCGAGGGCTGTGGATCCAAAAACGGCTTGTTTTATCACAGTTACATATCAATTTCATGCAGATTAATTGCCTTTATTGCTTTAGAAGGTGGAATTGGTTTGTATCCTGTACAATATTTGGAGCAGATGCTCCTATCAGTGTTTCTTGACCTGTGAATACGGTCTGTGGAACATATCACTCAGTGACCAAGGCATCTAATCCAGACTGATGTAGGAAGCACATGCAGTGTAGCATGCATGCAGATTATACCGCACGGTGTGCCTGCTTGAACTCTTTCTAGGATTGCATGACATATGCCTAATGTTTTTTTAAAAAAGAAAAACACTTGAACAAGTTTTATATATGTTTAATAGAGAGTAACTTATTAATGCTGAAGTGTTTGTTAATGAAAAATTGTCTCTGCTCCTCAGCTATATTTTGCATGAGTGTACTTCTTTGGCAAGGACTGGTTCACACAAGACTGTAGGTTTGTGTCACCCATTCCAGAGAGTGCAGCCGACCCACTTGCTTGATTAAAGGCAAGTTGATGGCTCTTTATTCAGGAACTCGGGTCACAACAGGGTAGCTCTCAACATTAGCATCTCCAAGATGGATGTATTTTTCTATGTCGTTATGTGTGCACAGTGTGCAAACACAAACACACATGTATTTGCTGGCAATATAAGATTTTGGGAATCTCATGGGCAGGAAAAGCAATTATTGTATTTTGACCTCAGCAACCAATACAGGCATTTAATCACAAAAAAAAAACAGGGATTGCTACTTTATTTTTTGCCCTTATTTTAGGTTAAAAAGCAGCTTTATGCATAGTCTGTAAAGCTCCCGGTGAGCTTCCACCGAACAAACCCAAGAAAATAAAATAACGGAATAGAAAATATTTTTTATAAAACACAAAGGTGTTTTAGTCCTGATAAACAATCAGTGAAGAAAGAAACATGCATTTATTCACAGAGGGCTACTTTACAGGTGTATACCTCCAAACCTGACCCTCACCCTGTGTTTGCAAGTGTCCCTTTATATGTGCTCAAGTAACCATACAATTAGTACCCTCCACATACTTCCTTAATCTCAGTTGATACAGTTAACAAGAAAGAGGACTGATTTTACCTGTGCAGGTGTGTGCAGAGAATCAAATAGGATCATGCATAGTTGGAGGGCAGGTTCCCTGCCCCTTTTTTTTGGGAAAAATCTCTCATGCCCTTTCCTGTTGCACTGTAATATTCTCATTTTTATGTACAGGACATATTCGGTTCCCTTTTGAAAGTTGGTCCTGTAATTCTTCCAGCAGCCTTCACAACTCACGGAGCAAAAAAAAAAAATCCTCATCCCCACCTGCTTGAGGTTTTGCCAATTATGTTAAAGAGTCTTGCTGGAAATACCTACTTCTAAGGTTATCAGAATTCATTATGATATTTTGCAAAATCTGCTACAAACACGGTTATAGAAGCTGATGACAACCAGATCTATCTTACCAATGCCTCTCCCAGATCATTTACTTTCCTCTGTACAGCCACCTGCTTATTCAGCATCCACTGTACAGCTGTCCTTTCATCCTGACAGATGTTAGGACAGCTGGAGCTATTGCCTTCATCCAACTGCGTACCCGTACTGTCAAGTCCATCCCCTAGCTCACCCATTGCCTCAGACAATGCATAATCCTAGTATTTTATCTAACCCTAAGCCTACATTTGATCCTGTCTCCTGTCTATCACAAAGAATCACACCCTCACACCTAAATGGTTTCATCTTTTCAGCCTTTACCACCACACATCTTCTTCTCAAACCTTCATCACATCTTGACTCTCCAAAACCTCCAGCATCTCCAAATTTCTGCTATCCTTGATCCGTTTGACACCAAAACATACCCTGTCAATGCTAACTCAATGGAGGTGACCAGTTAGCTCAGTGGGCTGGATGGTCAATTTAAGATGTATTGTGATGGCAACAGCACAGTCTCAATTCCCACATTGGCTGAGATTACCATGAAGGTCCTACCTTCTTGATCTTGCCCCTCGCCTGAGGCATGGCAACCATCAGGTTAAATTCACTGCCAGTCGTCTCTGTCTGAGAGAGCACTCCTTTAAACCCGTGGGACTATGATGATTTTACTGTCTAAAGTTTAAAATTCCCATCCTTTATAAATCTTGACACATCCCACCTCACTTCAGGTTAGAGGCTAGGAATCCTGCAGTGAGTAACTCCCCAAAGCCTGTCCACCACCTGCAAGGTACAAGTCAGGAGTGTGATGGAATACTCCCCACTTGCCCTGGATGGGTGCAGCCCCAACAACACTGAAGAAGATTGACACCATCTAGGGTAAAGCAACTTGACTGACAGGAAACCCATTCACCATCTTAAACATTCACTCCCTGCATCGTCTACAAGATACACTGTAGAAATTCACCAAGGACCCTACCACCTGAAAGGACAAGGGCAGCAGATATATGGAAGCACCACCACCTGCAAGTTCCGCTCCAAACTACTCAGCATTCCTTCACTGTCACTGGGTCAAAATCCTGCAACTCCTTAACAGCATTGTGGATGTCCCTACACCCCATGAACTGCAGTGATTCAAGAAGGCAGCTCACCATCACTTTTACAAGGGCAGTTAGAGGTGGGCTTTAATGCATTGAAATGATAAATGAAAGAAAATTTACCAGTCTGGAACTTTCTCCAGCCCTGAAATATGCTGTCCCCAAAATCTACTGATTCCAAAATTCTACTTGTCACCTGTTCTGTTGGTTGCAGCTGTACCTTCAGCCTTCCTTCCCAATCTAGGCAACCCCCTCCTAAATCTCTCCATTTCTTTTTCCCTGGTCACATCGTAAAATCCAAGTCCATAACCAAGTTATTGTCCATGTCTACTGAAATCTCCTCCTTTGGCCTATTTTTTTCTTCAATCTTCCCAAAGCACCTTGGGCTGTTTCCCTATTGTGACGGTGCAGGTTGTTATGGTTACAACATTGTGCATTATCCTAATGATTGCATATTTGTCAAAATGTCTAGAAAAGTCTTTTATGCAAATTGGCTTTGGAATTTCATCAAATTTCAATAGGAACAGTTCTTTGAGCTGAGCTTCTGGCTCTGAACTTTTCGAAACATGGGCGTGGGTCAGGGGAAGCAATTTTCAGTTTCTGACCTTGAGTCTTTAATGTGAACCAGCCTGTAGAGTGGACACTACTTTGCATCAAGATTAACAAATCCTTACTATGATATTTGTTGATGTTTTCACCGAGCTTGATTGCATAATGCTATACTTTTTTAAACATGCAGTGGACCTGCATCACTATATTTAATGATATATCTATGCTGCTTTCTTGGATTGGTGTTATACTGATAGAAAATGTATTTGTAAATGAAAGGGGAAATGGAATCCGATGAATGTGAGGCTGAGGGTTGAATCTTATTACCTTTTGAATCATTATTACCCACATAAAGGTCACGAGCAATATCTTTGCCCTCCATTTTCTAGCAATGTTGTGGACTGGATTACAGTCCTGTCTTCTTCACAGCATGACTATGTTCTCTGGATTTGTTCTGAGAAAGCTTTTATGTATCTGCCTCTCTTCCACATCCACTAGCTAAGGAACCATGTGGTTCTAGTGTTCTGGTTATCACCAGTACAACAGTATGTCAGCTGGTAAGGCAGAGATTTTGGACGAATATCATATTGCCCATCTCCAGCAGTCACTGCACCCAAATAGTTGATGAAGTAGTTAGCTGAAGATTTAGCCATGCTTGATACGGTATTGAAGTTTACAGACAGGGCCATGCAGATCCTATTCTAACCCTGGTCTTATTGCAGTGCAGCAAGAGATATGGGTGGGTACAAAATGCATCGGTTTTTACAATAGGACCCGGCGTGCCTGAGTTTTGTGGGGGAAAGTGGGTGATGTAAGAGGATCTGGAAATTTAAAGTTTTTGAGAAGATTTGTAGCTTGTGTGATGGATGAGGTTTTAGACTTGCTCGCTGAGCCGGTGAGTTTGGTTGCAAACGTTTCGTCACCCTGCTAGGTAACACCATCAGTGCGCCTCCGGTGACGTGTCGGTGTTCTGTCCCACTTGTTATTTATATGCCTCGGTTTGCTGGGGTGTTTGGTACCACTTCCGGTTTTGTTTCTCAGTGGTTTGTACGCAGGGTCTAATTCAATGTGTTTGTTGATTGAGTTCCGGTTGGAATACCAGGCCTCCAGGAATTCTAACCGGAACTCCATCAATGAACACATTGAATTAGACCCTGCGTACAAACCACTGAGAAACAAAACTAGTAGTGGTACCAAACACCCCAGCAAACCGAGGTATATAAATAACAAGCGGGACAGAACACCGACACGTCACCAGAGGCGGACTGATGATGTTACCTAGCAGAGTGACGAAACGTTTGCAACCAAATCTACCGGCTTGGTGAACATGTCTACAACCTCAGGAACTGGAAATGTTTGGTATTATATTGGGCAAAGGTTAGTAGTTGTAGGTCTGTGGGCTGGTGCAAACTCTACAAAAGCTGAAGGCTGCTTCTCATAGGGTTGGTGAGGGGTTTTGGGGGCAGGGGATGCTGATTACTCAATATCCCCTTCCCCCTGATGAAATGTCAACTTGAGGTCAGCACACTCCAGTTAATACCCACATAAGATACTGTGGGTGTGAAATTGGTTAAAAGTGGGATTTCACCCCTCAGTGGGTGGACCCCTTGTCCTCAGGGAGGCTTCTGGCTGATCTGATAGACTGGCAGCTTCAAAACTCTGGAGGGGTGGACACTGCTGAGCCTGCAAGTAGACTGCCCGGAAAGGCAGCTTATGGGTTTAAGGCAGGCGATGTGGAAGGAAGGAAGGTAGAAACTTGGGGAGCGGGTGGTACCCCAATGCAAATAGGTCACCTCCCCGAATGAATGCCTCCCTTCCTCCCTGTCTTTAATCATGTATCATATTGAAAAATGGCCTGCCCAACTGCCTATGGGCATCTAACAAACCTAATTGATAATTTATTTATTTACATATGCTCGGTGGACTGCTGCTTTTGGCCGTCTGTGTATGGGAATGAGCTTGAGGTCAGAGGGGATGGAGATGGACTATTTTAATTAGTCACCGTCTTCCCACCCCTTCTCCTCATCACATCCCCATCAACCAAAATTGTGACCAGTAGGGAGAGCCATTCAGTCCAGATCGGCATGTGCTGCATGGTCCCCTGATGGAGTGCTAGAAGCCCCTAACCACTTCTTAAGCTTTACTTTTGCTTGAGTTGCAGTCTTCAGGTGAGCAGGGATTAGAACAGAAGTACAATACAAAAAACAAATCAGTTGGATTCTATCTGTTGAACGGGGGCTGTAACAATTTATCTCTGAAATAAGGTAGAGTCCCCAGCTTTGCAATGCACTCTTGCCTTCATCTAACACAGTTAGGTACAAACTACTGAAACCAACAGCAAGAATTTGCATTTATATAGAGACCCTCATGAAAAGGAATTTCTTGAAACTTTACCGAGTGGGGAGTGGGAGATGGGGTCAGGGAGTGGTGAAGACTGGAATATATTTGGACAGAATGGGATACTTCACTGAAACACTAAAGGGCATCGAACCAATGCTGATTCACTTGCATAGGCACCACATTCAACTCTGATACCAATACCGAATATTTTCCAGCGGCTTAACTGGCTATTAGCAATCTGGAATGAGGCAGGGCCTGACACACAGATACCTCAGTTTTCAGTGACAGATAGATGGATATGGTTGAGAAACTGTCGCCCATGGAAAATTCAGAAGCACCCTTCTCTTCCATCCCCTCAGTATTTTCAGGTCATCTGTATTTCTGACTCATACAATATTTGAACAAGTGTACAGGATGTTTACAATGATGCTGACTTGATGACTTAAGGATTTTGAAGCAAAATATGATGAAAGCTTACAGGCTATGAGGTTTCCCCATCAAAGACAATCTGAAAGTGATAAGACCATCATGTTGAGCAAGCAGTAGGACCTAATATCTCACCCATATCAGCCACAGATGCTTTTAACAGGCAATAACCTCATGTCTCCAAGTGTGCTTTTGGTTTAGGAGAGCTATATTAAACATTACACGGATAAAGTAAGTGAAGCTACTCAAAAGTTTAGTTGTAATCCAAGTAGTGATTTTTGCTCAGAGAAGATTAAAACTAGGCAATTAACAGCTTTTGATGATCAGAAATAGAAAGCTCACCTTATCTGGATTCAATGTATCCCTTGTTATGGAGGGAAGGCATGCTGGAGAGAACTGAAGCTTTTGCCACAATATGCCAATCCTTCTTCAATGTAGAATGAGTGCCAGTGTACTGCAGGATTGTAAATGTTCAAACAAGGGAAGATCACTTTGGTGACAATGGGCCTAATGTCGATGGTGGTAGAAAAACAACAGTTAGTAAACAACAGTTAAAGTGGGTTAGTTAGAGAAATAGTGTCTGACATTGAAATAAGCAAAAGTTAATGAGGGTTGTGCATTTACTGTCATGTATGTTGACTTCCAGTTTGACAAAGTAACACATCATAGTCTTTTGAGTGATATTGAAACCCAGGAGATTTAAGGAATATTGACAATGTAGACCCAAACTTGGCTGATGGACTGAGAATGGGCCATTTTTATCTTACACACATTTTTTTCCTACACACTGGGTTCTGAGGAAGGGTCACCAGACCCGAAACGTTAACTCTGTTTTCTCCTCCACAAATGCTGCCAGACCTGCTGAGCTTTTCCAGCAACTTTGTTTTTGTTCCATTTTTTTCTTAAAACAGTTAGGCATGAATTATAGATTAGTGTCCATCCAGAAGTTGCTATTGGGAGCAGTGCTTTTTATTAATGATACAGACCATAAAAAGCACCATTTCACAGTTTGCACATGACTTGGAATTTGGAAACACTGGCCAAAGTGTTATCTCGATGCCTGTGATGAGTTTGCTGGGTGGGGGTATCTCTTTAATCAGGCGCGTGGGCGCTGGGTTGGCAGCCCTGGTTTAAATCTGTGATGCGAGTGCCCATATTTGGTCCTCCTAAAACCCCACCAGTTATGAATACCGCCTCACCACTGGGATTAGGCCAGCTATTGGTGTGGGGTCTTCATGCTGTCCCATGAGGGGTTGTTTGCAAGTTCCTGGGAGGGGCAAGATGAGTTTGGACGTCTGTTGTCCAGAGATGCTTGGTGATTGATTGAGGCAGTCATTCCTGAGAAAAGGTGCAAAGGGGCTCTCACCAGCTGTTCAGCTGCTGGCTGAGACCCTCATCACCTCCTCGCAATTCCACCTACAGTAAGTAGTGAGAGTGATAGCAGTAGACTGAAGGCGGATGTGGACGAATGATGAAATTGGCGTATGCATTGTCATACAAAGAAGTGTAAAATGGGGAGAGTATTATAAATGAATTACCATTTTAGAGGGCGTGCAGCAACACAGTGATTTGGGTTCACTGTTAAAA